TCACAGAGAAGAAGCAGGGCAGTGCCTCCAGAATTGTACGAAGCGCAGTAGTTGGCGGATTTTGAAGACATATCGGCGAGATAGATACCTTTGCCAAACATGTATCCGCTGACAGGGGCTTCCGGTGGAGCGATCCTGAGACCTTGACCCAAGATACCACCATAGTTGGTGACTCGGGATCCGTGCCAAAGCAAGCGGCGGTTGCTTGCGATCTTCGCATACTTGCTCTTGTCGAAACGGTCGAATTCTCCTTGACGCTCGATGCGGAAAATCTCTTGAACTTTGTAGCTGACATGATGTGTCTTGCCCTTCGAGTTGTTGAGATACTCGTCGATCTCCACGAATTCGCGACTCTTGTGTTGAAGAGGGGTCATCTCGTTCATGCCAAGTCCCTGGAATTGTTTGTCGAGCTTGTTCACATCGCTCTTGTCCTTCAATTGGTCCTTAAGCATGGCAGCAGTCTCCTTCATGTCCGACAGACTATAGTGGAGTACGAAGTCAGTATATGCCTCACATGCATTCGTACAGTCAAGAAGACTTACCTCTCAAGTAGCTCAATCTCCTTCTTAAGGAGTGTGATGTCTCGAATGACCGGCGGGCGATTGCGACCGAAGGCGTGTGGGATGAGAGAGAAGTACTGGTTCGACAGACGTTCAACCTCTGCCCTTGAATCGTTGTCGTTCTCGTCGATAAGCACGGACAGGTCCTTCAAAGTCTGGAAACCACGAGCGATGGTACCTTTACTAAGCTTACCCAGTGGGAGCTTGTTTGCGTCGTAGTTCAGGGCAGTCATGGTTTGATTGAAGTAATCCTAGTTGAAAATGTTAGCCTGAAATTCGTGTTGCCGCATACGCATCGCTAAAAAGTAACGGATGGACACGTCCTGAGGCTATGTAGTCTCCAGGCTCCATGATCTTTCGTTTTTTTCAAAATGCGACGCGGGTTGTAGCCACCCGGGTACTCCAAAAGCACTGGATTCTTACCTGGTTGAAGATGAGCTTCATAAGATCCTGGACCGGGGGAGACAAGGTGCTGTCGGGCGCTACGCCATTGGTCTCGTTGGCATCAGCACCAGCATCGGCATCGCCGTCGTCATCGTCGTCCGAGTCAGGGTTGTAGGAGCGCTCTACGTAGGCGTATTTGCCAGCCTTCGGCTCGTCACCGCGGTTCGCCCACTTGAGGCCAGACTTGTCCTTGAACTTCTTCTCAAACTCCTGCATGGCATTACTGAGGCCTCCATCGCCAAGCATCTTCATCTGGCCACGGTCGCCGACTCGCCCCCAGCGTGTCCACGTTCGGTAGCTGGAGCCATCGGTGAGAAGCTGGACTTTGTAGAACTTGTCTAAGGTAGTCAGCATACACGTCCAAAATCTGGGATTGACTGCCGTTACTCACTGTTGTTTGCAGACGAATTCGTTTGGTTGAGTGACGCGTCGTAGATCGTGCCGTCGTTGTTGTCAATGTAGACGCGCCAGCTAGCCAGAGGGCAATGCTCGTCTACGGAGATGGCAATCTGCTTGGACTTGGCATTTTGTCCATCTCCAACTTTGGCATTCTCTTTGATCTTGGGCTTCTTGGTCTCCTGTTGTGCAGTTGGTGGTGATGCAGATGACGCCGCGCGCTTCTTTGACCCGTTCTGGACAGGGGCAGGAGCTGGCGCCGCCGCTGCAGAAGACAACACATATTGCGACTCAGGAACATAAGAATCTGCCCAACCATCAATTCCAAGTTCTTCGTTCATATTTGAGAAATGCGTCGCGGTTATCATTGCGTCGGAATGTTGTGGACTTACCTGTCGCCTCGCACTCGTCGAGCCATTCGAGGCTAACGATCGTCACGTTCTGAGCAACAGCAGTTTTGACTTTCGTGGAATTACTCTCGAAGTCTTTTTGCGTTGCGATGAGATGGGTTGTGTCCGGTGTGACGCTCGACAGGAACTCGGCGCCGAGTGACGTTATACGCGTCTGTAGCGCTTTCTGAGTTACTCCACTCGGGAAGCGGCCAGATGCCGCGATGGACAATCCAGTGAGTACCATTGATGCGATTGATGCGATTGACTTCGATGAACCTTGGAAGACGCGATGCAGCTGGATTGGGGGCGCAGAATGGCTATTTGAACATTTGGTTGAGACGGAACCAGGTGGCCGATGAGACGGTGGCCTGTGTTCGGAAGGAACGCCCTTAGGCATCAGCGCCCAAAGCGGACTAGCCCGCGTTTCTGCCTTCGCGAACGGAACGCGTGCACACATGATAAGTCGTGCCACAAGCACCCGCATCATCACGACAGCAAACTTCACTCATCAACGTCGCTTCCTGTCAAGATGGCATCACTACTCACCATACCGCTGGAATTGCTGGTCGCGGTATCAGAATACCTCCCTACTGAAGATCTTGGTTCACTGCGTCTTGTATGCAAACAAACCGAGAAGTCGCTATATGAATGGTTTTCCAAAGAGTTCTTCTTCAAGAAGCAGTTCATGCTCACGCACAAGAGCCTGCAGGCGCTCATCGACATATCCAAGCATGCCAGTCTTTCCAAGAAGCTGGTACACATCATCATTGCCACCAACGTCTACAGCGAGATACCACTACGCTTCAGGGACGACGACGCCGCTACACGCTATATTCAGGGCTATGAGGACCAGAAAGCACTTTTGGGTACTGGGATCGACCGCGAGATGCTCACGGAAGCTTTTGAGCGTCTCGAGAACCTCACCACCGTCGGGATCCGCGACTTCAACGCAGGCAATCGAGTTCGTGACGGTAAGAGCTGGAGCTCCTGGGGCGCAACTACCGTCCATCGCGAAACCGGTATTGAGCTACGGTTCGCCGATCGCGATTCCTTCGGACAGGATGTCGGCACTCGTTTCACGTCTCGCGTCTTCTCCAGCGTGTTGTACGCTTTGGGCAAGGCTAACCGACGACCTACTGAGTTTGAAGTATTGCTTCGTCAGCGCGGCCTGCCCGACACGGCATTCTTCCTTCCAGACTACATCAGACCTACAGTGGAGCCCATACTGCAGAACACGAGCACGTTACTCTTGAATGTGGACCTCAAGCCTCGTTACCTGCACACCCATAGTAATGGAACGTCAGTGGATCCAAACGCGGGACGCTCGCTTCGGCGCTTCCTCCATTTCACTCCCAATCTCGTTCATCTTCGCCTGAACTTTGAGAAACATCTGGTGGCTAATAACGAGGACTTTCTGCAGTGGTTGGCTACTCCGAAACCCACTACCGGCTCAAATACAGCGACTTTTCTTGACCCTGCCCCAGTTGCTCTACCGCTCTTAAAGAACCTCGAGCTTGGTCAGCTAAGCGCTCGGGCTGACGTTCTATTCAACTTTATCTCCAAGTTCGCGCCGACTTTGGAAGATCTGAGCCTTTGGAGGATGAACATCCCCGCTGTAGTCGCCCCACCTCACGGACACAAGCCCAATTTCTGGCGCGACTTCTTCCGCAAGCTGTCCAAGACGCCGCGACTTGCTCTTACTCATCTCAAAATCGGCATGTTGCAGCAAGACCACATGTATGTGACTTTCAAGAGCGATGATGCAAACAACAACTTGAACATCCAAGTCCCAGCGAAGAAGGTGAAGGAGTACGCTGGAGCAGACATGGGCAAGTTTTGGGAGGAATTACAGGAAGAGGTGACCGTGGATTGGCCGGCGACGGTACCCGTCGATCTTGACGCAAGCGACGTACAAAGTGAAGATGAAGATGAAGACGAAGAGATGGATGATGATGAAGATGAAGATGAGGATGATAGCGATGAGTGAGACAAGTCTCTAGGTGCTTTCATGATGTTACGACCCATGCTCCCTAGTTCCAGCCTGTTCCTTTCTTGAGCAATAGTTGCATGAAGTCGCCTTTCATGTACATGTTGAATGACACGTCCTCAACACTGTCGCAATGACTTCTATGTCCAGACTTCGTGGCGTAAAACTAGTTTCACATCCATGGATACTACATATGTCGCTCATCTGCCCAAACAACTCTCCTTCCTCAAGTCTAGGCGCAAGGCTCAGAGCTCAATGAAAAAGATGACAAGATACCGTTGACAGACACGCATCACTGATGCGCACGGTACACAAACAGCACTGCGAACAGTGCGTGTTGAATGCCTGGAAGAACGAGAATCACCTCGTCCTCTCTCCAAATCCCAAAGCCCTCGGAGGTCAGTATCTGCAAGCGACAAGCACTGCGTCAGATAAGACTGTCTGTGACCAGACTGAATGCGATTCCACCTTTCATCTTTGTGGTGGCCTCTCATCTTTCCCTGTTGACCCGCTTAGCGGACATCATCAGTATACCAGACCGGAGACCAGCTTGGCTGGGACGACAAGGCGCTCGAGGCGGATCTTGAAGTTGCTGACAACCAACCCATCTAGTGAGTGTCGTCGTACCCTGCCACGTGGGACCCCGTACGTAAATCGGGCGCGACAGTATGACCTCCAGTAACCCAGCTTAGCTGACAGCCACTTGGCGGTTGCACCAGCTTAGCTGACATGCGAGTTGACATGAGACCTTCCCATGGCAGTAGTGTTCTGCGAAGCAACTGAAGAGAAAAGAAGAAGTCAAAGTGGGCGGGGAGCAGCAGTTTATATACCCAGAGGGCGGCGCCAAGATCGTACGGCGCTAGGCGTCAGTCACCTCCGTGGGGCTTGGGGTTACGGCCAGCCAGCCGGTTCTCACTCTCACTTCGTACCTAGATAGGTTAGACTCAAGTCACGCGCTCGTGAAGACTGTTCGATTATCAGAATGGACCAATAGTACGCAAGCTTTCTTCGGCAACTCGTCCTTCACTCCGTGATTGAGCTCCCGATTACGTAGTTCATGGAGGCAACACAGTCGAGATCTTGCCTGTCACCCGATAACAGCTCTTTCTTTACCTTTCACGATGCTTGGCATTCCCTTCTACCATAAAGTCAGGCACCGCCCTCAGCAAGGCAACCAATTCAATTCCCACATCCGGTCGTTTCCAAGTGATCACCTTAAAGATGGCGCCTGTAAAGATCAAGAACGAGCCCCCCAAGAAGACCGAGGCCCAGATCATCGTCGGCCTACAAGAGCATATCATCGTCCTCGAAAAGCGCCTGCGGAAGAAGCAGAAGATGGGAGAGGTCACCGATGACGACAACAACAATTACAACTACAACAACTACAACCATGACGACAACAACTACAACAACTACAACGAAGACGACAACAGCTACAACTACAACGGCGACAACGACAACGAAGACGACGACAACGAAGACGACGACAATGACAGCAAGGACAGCGATGACGACGATGACGACGATGACGGCGATGTCGCTCCAATCTTCTCCAACACCTCCGACACCCAGCTCGCCCTCCGCCTCGATGGCGTCACCCGTCAGCGCGATCAATACAAGGGCGCGATCGAGGTAGGCCTGGTCGAGAACACCAAGCTCCGCGAAGAGCGCGACCACTACCGGGATCTCTACATGGGAGTGATTCGCTCTACCGGCAGCGCCAACACCAACAGCGTCGGTAACAACAACTTCCTCAAGATCGAGTCGAACTCTACCCACTACCACATCAACATGGCTCAGGATAGCAACCCCTTCAGTGGCTTCGTCAAGGCGCCCAAAATCAGCGAGCCCAGCGAGCCCGAGGTCAAGCGTCCGATATACGGCGATCAGTGTCATCGCGAAAAGAGGCACAAGCCTTGTCGCAAGACTTCATGTCCCTACTGGCACCGTTCCCAAGGCGCGCGTTTCGCCGCCATTCGCCCTACTCTCTTCTCCAACAAGGCTGCCGAGAACCGAGCTCAGCGCCGCTGAACATGGCTGTCGGGGTATTCAGCGGCTATCGACATGAGCTTAGTGGAGCGACCCAGTGCTGAATGCCTCCAGGGTGGACTGTGGTGACAAGGTTGGGTTTGGGGTTGACATCGACAACCTCCTCGGTCGGCCTTGAGCATGTGGCTTTGATTCGACCATGGCGATCTCATGGAGAGACTAAAGGATGGTGTTACTTGGCTTACACGGCGTTGAGAACCTCCTAGGGGCTATGAAAGAAGGGTGTTCTGGTGCTAGTCTTTCGCGATACCCATTGCTTTGTAGTCTCACTAGTACGAATGAAACTTGCCGATGCACATGGGACGATTGACCAAGTAAAGTGATGTGAAGACCTCGAAGGTGACGAAAGAGAAGATAGCAAATGATCGGATGCCTTGAATGAGCGAAGTGATGAAAAGAAAGGCAACGCCAACGGCATCGCGACAGCATTTCGTTTTCTATGAGGCTCATAGGACATCTCTTAAGCTTCTGCGAAGACGTGAGATCCTCCAGGGAGATCACAAAGGCCTTTGCTTGGGTGGCAATGCAGCGATGTCAGCTTCCCCGCCCTCCTCAAAATGGCGATGTTTTCTGAGAGCACAGATCCGATGTAAATGCTAGCTAAAACAAACGAGATCCCAGAGCCGGTCGGACGTCTGTGCGACATTACTCAGTCTGACATATTAGGTACGTGCCTCTTAGCTATGTGTTGACCGGTTCACCGGTCAAGATATTTCCAACCAATCAGCATCCTTCTGTCATTAGACACCTTGCGATTTCCTTTCTCTTTCTTGCATTGACCCGAAATCGGTGTACGTCTAATCGTGTCACCTATCAAATGCAGTGAGCATGCTGCAGATGTCCACATGAGTTGGGGTAGACGCTTGACACGACCTCGTCTCGTGTCGCACAGTCGATGGGCAGCGGAAGCAGGCGCAGGCGCGGGGTCGTAAGGCAACTTGGGCATCTTCGTCGGGCCTACACGTTTGGAGGCGCACTGCAGTCATGATGCCAGTCTAATCAAAGAGACTATCGTCGACGGCACCAGTCAGTTTATAGATGTAAGGGGCCGAATGTGTTGACAACATTCACGATGGTAGCTCCCGGTTTACTGACCGGAGCGGTCGAGCTGGCACGTGCACTATGCGGTGGCTTTACCGGTGAGATCCTCGACAACACTAAAACGCCGGTCACATCTCAATCGGAGCTCAAGCCTTTCGCAATCGCAGTTCTTCCCCGAGGCATTACGAGGTAACACGATGGAAGTTCTCGATGCGAAAGGTCTCTCTGAGCGCCTGAGATGGGAAGACAATGAGTACTGGCTGCACCTCGAGGCTGAGACTCCGTTTGAGAAGTATCCCGGTAAGTCTGGGAAGATGAGCGTGGGTCGCGCAATCAGCTAACGTCGCGCAGCAAAACAACATGCGCGGAGGGTGCAAGAGAAGTTGGGTGTTGAAGAAGGCCTGATCTACCTACCGGGTCAACCAGCGAGGAACAACGAAGATAGCGACATGCCAGCACCCTTCCGACAACGCCGATATTTCTATTACTTGAGCGGGTGCGTTGATCTGGGAGTAAATGAGGACCGTGCTGATGGTATGAAGATGCAATGAACCTGACTGCCATCTGACGTACGACACGCGACGCGACGAACTGTCCTTGTTCATTCCCCGCATCAAGCCTGAGCGCGTTATCTGGTACGGCCGTGGCTCCACCCTAGCAGAGGCGCTCGTGAAGTACGATGTCGATCAAGTTTTCTACGCAGATGAGCTTGAGTACGCCGTGCAAGGATGGGCGATCGGTAACCGACAGGCTGGCATCTACGTCCTGCACCCGTCATCGCAATTCCCCGGCTGCGACAATCTGAAGCCCCGTATTGATTCGATAGCCCTCCGATCAGCCATGAACGTATGTCGCATGATCAAGGATGATCACGAGATCAAGCTTATTCGGAAAGCGAACGACATCAGCTCGCAAGCGCACCGAGAAATCCTTGCTAACATCACGAACTTCAAGAACGAGGCACAGGTTGAGGGATTGTTCATGGATGTGTGCATATCGCAGCAAGCGAAGCAACAGGCCTACGATCCTATCGCTGCTTCCGGACCGAACGCCGGAACTCTTCACTATGCCGCCAACGATGAAGATCTCGCGGGTCGTCAACTCATGTGTTTAGATGCAGGATGCGAGTATGAGCTCTATGCAAGTGACATTACCCGCACTTTCCCGCTATCTACTTCTTGGCCAAGCAAAGAAGCCGAGAACATCTACAAGCTGGTCCAGCGTATGCAGGAAACATGTATCAAACGCCTAGAGCCCGGCGTAAGATACCTGGATTTGCACATTATGGCGCACCAGATCGCAATTGATGGATTACTGCAACTGGGCATTCTTCACCACGGAACGAAAGAAGAAATTTACAAGGCAGGTACAAGTAGAGCATTCTTTCCCCATGGTCTTGGACATCACATAGGCCTTGAAGTGCATGACGTGGGTCAGGCACAACTCATGAGTGTAAGAAGAGGGAAGCCAGTGTACCAGCAGGTAAGTTCAATCAATCCGAACATTGATCAGTCGCTAAGAATCTGACAAGGCACCATCCCTTTACCCACAGGATTTCCATGTCCCGGTGTATGATTCTGAGACTTGCCTCGCGCCCAGCGATCCCCAGAGCAGCCATCTCGAAGAAGGCATGGTTGTCACTGTCGAACCTGGCATCTACTTTTCCGCATACGCTCTACAACATTTCTATCTCCCATCACCCGTTCACTCCAAGTACATCAATACTGAGGTTTTGAAGCGCTACATGCCCGTGGGCGGTGTACGCATAGAAGACGACATTCTCATCTCCTCCTCTGGTTACGAGAACTTGACTACAGCCCCAAAAGGCGACGCAATGCTTGAAGTCATCCGGCACGGAAAGAAAAGTGCTTTGGACGTGCCGAGTTCCAACTTCACTCCACTACGAAGACCGAGCGGTTCCGTTGAGCCAACTCTGCGACGCGCGCCCGGCATTTCTACACATACACCATCACAGCACTTACAGAAGCCACTCGCCAGAGCGGCAACCCTTCCCGCAGACTTCGTTCAGCAACGCAACTCAGACTTCGCGCCTTTTGCAGGCCCCTCTCTCTTCTCGAACTTCTCACGCTCAATGACCACAGAAGAAAAGATCCAGCAGTGGCAGCATAAGCGTAGCCCAGTACCGATCGCGCCCGTCCCCTCGGTCAACGCGAAGCAACCGAATCCTGTCTGTGGCGAGATGGATCCGAACTTCCAGCATGTTTACATGAGCAACGCTTGCAGTCCGGCGTTCTCATCACAATCGACTCCGCAATTTGACAGTACACCTCCGTGCCAGAATTGCGCAATCCTGGTACAGACGCTGGATCGGCTGCGTCAAAACCTCACATCCTCTATTCGGAGCTCTTCAAAGCCTGAAGTGAAGGCTACTTCTGAAGCCGATCTGAAGAGCAAGAGCACCAAGCGAGTATGCGATGACGACCCAACAGTACCCCCACGCATTGGCGAGCTGTCTGTCGGCGCTTCGGCTTGCACCGTAAACCTCGATAAGAACCAGAGAATTCCACTTCCTCCACCCCAGCCTAATGCTAGCAGGACAGGAGATACAAGAGCAGCGCAATGGGCTAGACGCTCCGGCGCAGCTCCTCGTGCACTTCCAATTCGCGCCCAAACTCTGGACAGCCAGATTTCACAAGCATACTTTCGGGGCGAGGAGTCCACAGATAAAGTCCATCCTGTCCCGCCACACCATCAAATCCGCACAGCCACTGGGATACCTGGACGATTCAGGCGTCGCACTCATAGGAAACTTCCCGACCCTGTACCGTCTCCGCAAGCCCTAGAACCGGAAGCTACACGGCAGAAGTTAGAGTCTCTGCAACTGAGACTTGACTCGCTGGAAGAGGGTGCTCGCGTGAAGAGACGACAGCAAGACCAAGCTGTGTTGCCCGAACGATTTCTCGCCTCAAGACCGTCAATGCCGGTATTGATGTCTCAAAATCCGTGGCAGCAGCACCATCGACCTACCGCCGCGAGAGGCTCTGGCGATAGGACATCAAATAACCTGGAAGTTCTCGACATCGATAAATCTCGGCTGGAACGTTTAGAGGAGAGCGAGCGACAGAGGCGCTTAGAGCGCGATGCATTGACCAGAGATACGTTCTTTCTACGATAATGATACAACGGTTGGTTTTACTTTACCAGCTGCGGCAAGACCGAATACGTTATTTTTACCTTCTCGGTTCTGCTTTTACAAACAATATACGTTTTATTACACTCCGTTCATCTTACATGTCGTCTTGCATGCAGCTGAAGGGTATGTCCAGCTTGTGACCTTATTCGGTGTATGCTACAACAGGTTATAGCGCTACTACATTCTTGAACACTTCGTCCTCTTCCCGCAGAGCAAGAAAATGGAAAGCGCAGTAGGCGTTCTACTAGTAGTCGAACGTCGACGATATCGAGGGAAAAAAAATACGTTCGAAGAGATGAAAGGTGTAAACGCAAGGCTATTAGATTCAGAGATAGGCGTTGATGTGGGGCGCAAGTACCAACATGGGGTCACCCCACTCTTGACCTAAACTTCGTTCTTCGAACATCCATGGATGCTCCCTCTCGGTCCTTCTCGCCCTCATTTCGGTAGTAAGCATCGCGACAAGCTTCAACTGATCAAGGTCACAGGCTCTCGATAATTGCTCTATCTTCGATGATTACGGTACCTAGGAGTCGCCTAGATGGAAAAGCATGACCAGAAGCATTGTGGATTATCTGCAGCCATATGCATACACATCGGCCCCGATAGGCAGGTGTCCCTGGTTGCAGGAGCACAAACACATCATTGGCTTGTCGCATCCCTGATGCCGTCTCGGCGCATACGCAACTCTTGGACCGTTACAGCGGTATCTATCTGTGCACAACATACTTCTGTATCGCAATGTACAAATATCCCCAAAGCCCGACATTCTCGCGCATATCCTACATTCGCTTTTGCGATTTAGTTTCGAAAATAACTGCCTCAATATGAGGGTCACGTTCGCATTAGCACCATGCCTGGTCTCCTTCGCAGCATGTGCATGCGTGCCCGACTTCGCCGACAAGATACTGTCTGACCCGCTGACACTACAACACCCGGCAGTAATTGCAGCATTTGAACAAGTTCAGCGCAATCTCTCAGCTTTATATATCAACACCACGCGCGATGGACTCAGCTTCGCTGTTGTACGTACAGGTCCAATCTCAACAAAAGGCCCATCATTAACAACCACAAGGTTCATGCGTCAAGCCCAAGGCCAGCATATGTGTTTAACAACGGAACATTGAAGTTCAATGAGACTGATGCAGGACCGGCCGAGGCAAATTTGGTGACGAGCGACTCAATCTTTCGCCTGATGTCTTGTTCGAAGAACGTCGCGATGGCATCTGCTCTGGTCATCGAAAACCAGCTCAGGCAAAACTCTTCATCTTCATCGTCCCTCCTGACCATCGACACGCCCGTCCGCCAACTACTTCCCTCTTTTAGTCTGCCTGAGAGAGACTGGAACGACGGCGGCAGCGAGATCACATTGCGCATGCTTGCCAGTCACACAGCGGGTATACCAAGGGAGAGCTACAGTACTGGCTTCAACATGATTCTTAGTACCGGGAAAGCAGATTCGCCGACTATTGGAGCCGCATGGGCGGGTGAAACTGCCCAAGACGTAATTGATGGGATAGCGATGAAGAATTTGATGTTTGCGCCAGGGCAGAGGGCAGCTTGTAAGCGACTTCCTCCTGCTAACGATACGCGTACTGACACGAACAGATTCGAATGCAGGTCTGGGTATTCTAGGTGGTGAGTGGATACAGCATGCGACTAACGAGAACATGGACTAATCTACCGCTAGCTGCTGTAGCGACATACTACAACAACATCACTTCCTCGTCTCTCAGCTGGTCTGAGCTGACATCGCAGGAACTTCTTCAGCGATTGAACATGACCCATAGCTTCTTTGGCTCTGTGCCGCAGGATTTTATCCCAGACATAACTGTACCGGGCGGTGAAAGTTGGGTCGATTTGATCGTAGGCGAAGGCTACGACCCAGCGGCCGGCATGTGGAGCTCTGCAAACGATCTCGCCCGTTATATGCATGGCCTATGGCTTACGCCCGAGCCTACGCTCATTACGCCCTTCCAGCGTCGTCAGGTCATGAAACCAAGTGTCATACTTGCAGATGGCAAACAGCAGAGCGGCCCAGGCTGGGAGATTGAGATCTTGAACTTACCGACGAGTGAGAATGCGAGTCTGGCGGAAGACAGTATGAAGACATATAGCATCTTTGGCAAGTCCGGCGATGGAGGAGGCTGGCATAGCTGGATCGACGCCATACCAAATCTCGGTTATGGCGTAATTGTGCTCGTGCAAGGATCCGGTCTGGCCGACTACGCGGGTATCTCGACGAGTACTGTCAGAGATACAGTACATGCTATTCTTGCGCCTGCTTTCGCAGAAGCATTGAGCACAAGAACGAAGGAGCGATTTGCAGGGTTCTATAGCGCTGGTGAAGACACTGGACTCATTGCTGATGAAGTCGCCACCACGCTTTCGAACTCCCCCACTTACGCCAAATTGGAGATCCAAGACCAGATTTTGTATATTCGCTCGCTCATGGTGAACGGTTCATCCGCGCTCGAGGCAATAGATCGCCTGTCCTGGACCGCAGATGCCCAGCCACGCTACTTCTCTACACCGGAAGGGGTTGTCTTGGAGCCGGCGGAGGGCGTAGGCGAGACAGACGAATTTGGACCTGGAGCGCAGGTTTGGAGGATGATCTTTCCAGGATTGGCATCGTGCGATTGGTTCGACTTCGACGGCTATCATGACAGCAATGGATGGCCTGTGAGCAAGGTTGTCCTAATTGAGAATGAGGAAAGGGTCGAACTGCACTACCCACCATTCGACATTACTGTGAGTCGAATGAAGATACACAAATAAGACCTCTCATCAAATTTCTGTACAGGTGTCTTACCGTGAGTCGGTGCTATTGACACAAGGCTCCGCTCCTGTATTAGTCAGCCGTCCTCGGCATTGCGCATCTTGTCACGCGCGGAGTTCCCCTATCGACACATGACTCTCCCTCCGGGTCGACAACCTCCGCTACCCAAGCACAACACCAACCATCTCTTGACGTAGAAAATCTCATCGCCAGCTCGAATGCGACATCAAAACTACACGCCTAGCTACCGACTGCATCAATTCAGCTGCCCGGGGTGATTCTCGGGTAAACATGCACGCTGCTCCTGCACAAGCTCGCGCTATCATCGATGCCTTCCACAATAAGGTAGCTGAAACCGAAAGGCAACAGCGTGAGCTACAGACCCAAGAGAGTGATCAGCACTTCCACGACATGTACAGTCCATGCAACCCATCATCGACGTTCCATGACCTACAGTGTGGCCACAGGATCCAAACAGAGTATACCGCAAGCTGTGGTGTGACCTGTGCGCGACCGATGCAAGGCCTGCCGTTCGTCTGCCCGGCTTGCCTGATCGATGTTGTACGTGCGGAAGTAGCTCTCGACAGTCTCACTCTTGGCTCCGGTGATGACGCCGCAATGGACAGCACCGGGCTAGTCGAAGAGGACAGGATACAACACTTCGCCAACAAGTACGTCGCAGCAATGCTGAAGAAGGGCTATCGCGCATGTAAGGCAGTGCTCAAGATTGATGAACCTCGCATGCAGTTCTTCGATCAATTCATGCGACAGGACGGGTTTGGAGGCGTGGAGGATGAGCCTGCAGACGGAATGATTACGAAGCCACGGAAGCGTCCTGGTGCGGGTGGTGGCCGTAGACAGCCTGCCAAGCTGCATGCAATACATCGAAAGAAGCCTGGGACGTGGGATTATCGTGATCCGACAGGAAGCGAACCAGTTTTGGCAGAAGCTGCGCGCGAAGATCCAGGCGATTACAATAACGATGATATGGAAGGCGGTAAGGGGATGACAGACGATGCTGTGGAGGTGGCGCATTCGGGGCAGTCCGCTGATGCATGTGTCGATCTTGTTCCGCAGTCAGAAGCAGCCGAGGCTGTACTAAAGGCCATGGAAGCATTTGCTAGGCTTTCCACGTGGTGAGTGAGCACGGCAGATCTTCTAGTACCTAGAGATGTAGCGTTAAGAGATCTTCAATTGTATTTCGAATAGTCCCTGAGCTCGGATAAAAGGTCACCTGTCTCGGAGTAGACGTTGCCGGTTGATGACGAAGACCGTCACTCAAAGCCCGATCTCGATAGAGGAATTCGACAGAGGCATACCCGATAACGGAAGCCGAAGTCTGCCTGGAATGTGCAAGACTTTGCCTGAGATGTGAACCAAACAGGGGTCAAAGGGATGCGGGGAGAGGTGTTTGACTGGAGAGTGTAGCTTTCTTGCTGAGGTCTGTGCGCTGCTGATGATGTCAGCATTCTTCGATAGATTCCTCAGACTCAATCGCCAGCACCTACCATGTTCATTCATCATCAGCACGAACGTTCATCCATATTCCCGAGCCTTGCAGCGGTTATTGACACTTTACAAACTTCTATCGCCGACTTTGCGCGTACAACGTCTCGTCACGAACGCCTCACTCGCGTGGCTGCCGATCGCGAAATTGAGTTTTGACATGGTAAGTCCCGCAGCGAGCGCAACCCTATTCGAAGACTGCCAAAATTCCCGGTTAGCAACTGCAAAACGACAAGCATCCGTTGGTCTTGGTAGGGCCTTTTACGCGTCTAGCGGTGCTCAAATGATTATTGAGACGTCCGTTAGCCTTAGCCTAGGTCCGCCTCTTACTCGCGACGGGAGTCGTTCGTAGGGCGACTGCATATGTTCGACACCTCAATGCTAATCTGGAACTGCGGTTGCAAATCTTCGGTAGTTGTGACAAGCTCACCTAAAGCAGTCGCACACTATGGCGTCTTGTCGTTGAAGCTTTCCATGATTGCGCACCGCTCCATGATCGCCATGGATCTTGCCCCGAGGTTGGGTTCAGAAGTAGCTTTCCTTGACATGCATCACCATGATGATGTAAGGCAGGTATGCGCACGATTGTACATGGATTCTTGGACATCGACGTCTCAACACATTTGAATTCTTCTCGTTTTCGACGAAAACTCCTGACCCAGGGTCATTGATCACAACCCACCGCCAGCCGTTTTCCTGTGGGGACGTCGCAGATCTGCAGGCACACGGGTAGAATTGATGATTCTAGCTCGACTACTAGTAAGTGTTATCGGCAATCCTACCCCAAGTGTCGCTTCGCACCTGGGCAAGCTCAAGCTCCATACGCTCGCGTGGATCATTTACCGCAACAGCGGGTCGCGCGATCTTCAAACACCTGCAGAAGCAACGCCAACAAACGTCCTGTTACACATGCCACGTGTGCGATCAAACCTCCATGCCTCATGGTGATCAAAGATCAGCGTCCCACGATGCAAGGCGTTTACAGGGTCAGTATAGCCTTCAGCTGCGTTCACTGTTACGCGCCCACGGGTTTCTACACAACGCCACGCTTACCAGGGCTATGCGCAAAACTACAGCGACTTGTTAATGTCGCGAAGCTGATGGCACATGACTCCGCCTTGTACCCCCGATGTTCACCGCAACTTTCTTGGAAGCTCTCACGGAAAGAGCCTAATAATGGATGCAGTCGGCGAAATAGTCCATATACGCCATGCAAGGCTAGGGGACCCGTACTGTGGCGTAGATCACTCCACAGTGTTTGAGGTGCGGGAAGATATGGACCCCGCTAACTACTAGCGGAGTCATTGGTCTTGGACCCCCGACTCTTGTGTATAGATCTGGCTGATGTCCGGGTGCCGTTTCTGTTTGCGATGGTCAGTTCGTGTCTCATTCACCCCGACAGCTAGGCCTGCTGCTACTACGCCGGTAATATCTAATATGGACGGAAACACTCTGGCATCCTATGGCGGCAGCCTCGTCGCTCGTGCAGGCGGTTTACATCCTCCACCAGAAGTCCTTCTCAGCTGGCCAAAACCGAATTATGTCGACCCGGAGGAACGAGGTTGGGGACCCCCAATACTGCTCATGGTCGTCTTGGGCATCACCTTCCTGGTATACTGTGCGCGGATGTGGGCAAGGCTGGTCATATCGAAGAACTTTGGGCTGGATGACATACTTGTCAGCATGGCAATGCTGCCGCTATTCGGTCTGACCATATCAAGCGTACTTGGTATGTATCGCTTCCTTTCGAAGTGTTCTTTGCTAACAAACGCAGGTATTCGTATCTATGGCTTCCAATGGCACGTCTGGGACCAGACCAAAGAAACGCTAGTAACGACAAGAGAGATCGCTTTTGCAATCGAACTTAACTACATGTTAACCTCGACGCTGATCAAAGTCTCGATCCTTTGCTTCTACCGCCGAATCGGTGATCGTCTGACGAATCAGTTTATCTACTGTAAGTATCTCGCCAAAGCCAGCCTGGTCCACGCAGAAGCTAACGTTGCTCCACAGGGGTCTACGGCACCATCGCCTTCTGCATCATCTACGGAATTGCCTTCACTATTGCCATTGTCTTCACATGTACACCGGTTATAGGATTCTTCCGCCTCTTCGACATATCCTGGAGACTGCAGAATGAACTGACGTGTCGCAACGAGGGGGCCCTTATTGTTGCATGCGCGGTGATTTCACTGTTCCAGGATTTCATCATCTGCCTGCTACCAGTACTTTTGATTTGGAACCTCCAGATCAGCAAACGCCAAAAGATCGGCCTGTGTGCCATTTTTGGCGTGGGCCTGATAACATGCATCTGCGGTATGATGCGAACGTTCTATGCCGCAAAGCTATACTACTGTATGGATCTATCTTCTTGAATCCTCATCTAGCAAAACTAATTCTCTGGTCTAGTCACCTACGACATCACCTGGGCAGCGTATTCTGGATGGATCTGGACGACACTCGAAGCCCAGCTCGCCGTAATGTGCGCGTCAGCGCCCTCGCTCAAAGTCTTCCTCGGTCGCTACTTCAGCATGTACACCTCGCGCGCCGGCTACTCTCAGACTGGAATCCCCGGTCAAGCGTCTGGTCCGTCTTCAAATACACTATCGCAAGGCTTCACCGGGAAAGCATCCCAGCACTCTACACAGCGATCGCAGTGCACTGCTGGATCGATTCGCGGCGATGTTCCGTTGGAAGGCATCCATATAACCAACAAGTTGGATGTCAAGGTTGAAGAGCGCGATTATTACGAGCAGGGCAGTCTTCACAGTACTAAGGAGCTCACTGCGCTCCCCGTGTCATCGCAGCCTGGTTGGCGGGATGGCTGTAAGACAGTTTGCGCAGCGCTCCGACCGAGCAGCAGAGGCACATCAGCAACTCGTGGTCGAACTCGCGACGGCGACGTCGAAGCCGGCCGCGCCTACTAAGTGGACTTTTGCCGTTCGTCTTTCTCTGTAACTCGCATCATCGTTTCGTCGACGTTTTTGGTTTCTCTAGACCCATATACCTTTCCCTTTGTTCTTATTCCAACGGCTCAAGACATTCCTTGAGCACGCTACGACATTACAGACGCTTCTAATTTGAGAAGCGCCCACATTCAGGGCACGATGGCCAGCGCTGCCTCGTTGCATACTTCCGTCATGAGTTACTCATGACATATACCCCCTTATCTTCCCTTGTTGTTACTGGCTACATCTTGGATTACTGGTAGAAGAACGACGAGTACGGATCGAATTACATTAGAGTCTCTTAATATTAGACCCTCTTTATCCATTCATCTAGACGTATCTCTTGACGCATCAATCGTGATAGATTAATCTCTCAACCATTCCGCCTACTGAAGTAAGGACTTCGCAGCAGCCTCAACCTCATCCTTGTTTCCGCAGATCAACCCACCCCTCTCGTCCGTATCCTCGATCGCTGTCTCAAGCACCCTCTTTCCTGTCGCAGAGTCCAACGCCGCACCTCCAGCACACTCTAGGATCAGCGCAATAGGTGCGAGCTCATATAGTCGCCTAAGCTTGGCTTTGCTCTGTTCCGTAACCGGAGATATGTAAACACCATGACCCTTGACCAGCGCATGGACAACATCCGGCACGAGGCCGCCGCTGTATCGCAGCGTGTACTTTTGCATGATGAAACGGTTGATCAGGTTCAGATACCTCTGGTCCTCGGCCGCCGCGCGCATGTTGGCTGGAGCAAAATACCGCGTCTTTACTTCAGAGGCTTGCGTCAACTGCACGTCTGGGCGGATAACCTGCATCGTGCCGTCGTCTGCGTATCCCACTTCAAAACATGAACCCTTGGTACCTGGTAGACGGAGGGCGACAATCGCGGTTGTGCGTGGGCCTAGTACACCCAGTATCGAGGCAATTTGCTTTGTATCGGGTGATTGATGTAGCGCTGAGGCTCCTTCCCAGACTCCGATTATCGTGCCTACGCTCCAGTTTGGTGCGATGATGGAGGAGCCATCTAGCGGGTCGAAGGCGAGTGTGTAGACTTCTTTGCCCGAATCTTCGCTGCTGGTAGATTTCGATGATTTTTCAACGGGGTCTTCTTCGCTGGAGGCTGTTACGATTGCTGGGCATGAATCAATGGTTTTGCGGATCGCTTCTTCGGCCAGCACGTCCACGTTCAGTTGGTCGTCGCCGAAGGCATTGGCGGTTCCGACTTGGGTTACCGATGGGGAGGTGCGCAGGTAGCTGGCTATTGTGTGGATTGAGCTGAAGAGTTTCGGCAGGACTGCATCGCGCAGTTGGGGGTGTGACGAGGTGATGAGGGAGTTTAGATGCGTCGGTACGTCCACGGGTTGCGACATATTGGGAAGATTACGGTTACTGTAATCGATTGCGGTTCAATTGAAAGAGAAGAGGTGACTGTTACTCTATGGGCGGTCTACTTGAAGAGAATAAATTCTGCGTCTGCTAGTGTTCACCAGAGTGTGACGTCGTGGTGTGGAGTTGTGGAAGCTTCGTCCATCTAGCAGCTCCACAGGCATCCACCGAGATCATCATTCGTTTCTCGGCCCTATCCGCGTCTCCCCCAACACCGCGACGCGTCACGCGTCGATAGCTACTTTGATGTTGGAGATGCTTTCTTTTGTTCGTTCGAGGTGGGGTTACGAGCGGGGTAGCTCGGGAAGCTCAGCTGCCATCACGGCAAGCTTCGGAAGCTCATACGCCATCTCCTTCCTTCCTTCTCTCCCTTGAAATTGGTTTCACCATACATCACCGCTTCTTTCGTTTCCTTGTATCTACTCACAATGCCCCAAACACTCAAAATCGCATCCGCGCAATCCCGCACGCTGTCCACAACCGCCGAGACCCTCGCCGCTCTCGAAGCGACAACGAAGCGCGCCGCATCCCAAGGCATCGATGTCCTCCTATTTCCCGAAGCATACCTGGGTGGATATCCTCGTACTTGCGCTTTTGGCGCTGCGGTTGGCGGTCGCGCACCCGAAGGTCGCGAGCAGTTCCTGCACTATTTCCACGATGCTGTCGATATGGGCGACACACCGAGCGACGCTGGGCAGGATTGGCTAGACCGGAAGCTAGAATTGCCGAGAGGGAAGGACTATAGGGGTGATGGGACACGAGAGGAGCTAGAGAGGATAGCAAGAGAGACGGGGGTCTTTGTTGTTACGGGGATTGTGGAGAAGTCTGGTGGCACACTATACTGCGGGGTTGTGTTCGTCGATCCAAAGATGGGTATATTAGGCAAGAGGAGGAAAGTCATGCCGACGGGCAGCGAAAGGCTGATTTGGGGCATGGGAAGTGCGAGTACACTGAGGGCCGTGACAACGGAAATCAAGGGTGTCAAGCTGTGTATGGGGTCGGCGATTTGCTGGGAGAACTACATGCCGTTGCTGAGGCAAAGCTTGTACAGCCAGAACGTCAACCTGTGGTTTGCGCCAACAGCAGATGCGCGTGATGCTTGGTCGTCGCTGATGCGCACGGTAGGCTGCGAAGGCCGATGCTTTGTGGTTAGTGCAAACCAGTGCGTCAAGAAGAAACACCTCCCAGAATGGATCACCGGCAAAGCACAATCGCAAAGCAATGGGAGCAAAAGCGGCGTCGGTAGGAGCCTCTCGCAACAGAGTAATGGAGTCGCTGGCAGACGACGAAGCACCATCACTAAAACGCCGGAGGGTCACGAAATTTGCATACCAATACCAGAGGGACAGGCGACTGAGGGCGATTCATCGGCAATTGACTCCTCATCCACTGCAGAAGATGCGCTTAGCCCAAAGCAGCAACCCTTCTCGCAGCCTCAGTCAGGGGACGGCGAGGAATATGTTTCCCGTGGCGGCTCTATGATAGTATCACCCTTGGGCGAGGTGCTTGCTGGACCAGTATGGGAGCAAGAAGATGAGCTGTTAGTCGCAGACGTCGATTTTGACGATTGTGAGCGCGGTAGACTCGACTTCGACTCCGGGGGAAGCTATTCTCGAATGGACAGCTTCAAGCTCAGCGTTGAGGGCCTTGATCTGAATCCACCGCCAATGTAAACTATGTAAGCCTCAGTAATAGGTCGCTTATAAGGCTGAATCCTTCGAGCACCTTTCTAGCATCGTTATGGGTGAGAGAAGACAGGGAATTGATGTGACATCACAACACAGTTAGCTTGTCAGGACCATATTTGGCTGACATGTTCGTTCAAAACTTCTGGCAAACCAGATACGTAGGCGCCCATGTTCATCTGACTGCACAGCCTCTTGTGGGCTAGGTCGTGATTGGTAGAACCGGTGGGCCTGAGGCTGCTAGCTACCCCTCATGCTTGGTTAACGGCCAGACGTTCCCACCTCTCCATCCCCTACGAGAGACACGCTAAATATTCACAGTATATCGCGGGCCTCTCAACTTACCTTCACATACTATTGCTTCCCTTCCCGTCAAATTCCAGGCAATGACAACGCGCAAGAACCTCATTATTGACACCGACTTGCACAGCGATGTTGAGTACGCATAGCCCCGTTCTCATATCACAAGAAGCTTACTAGTGTACTAGCGATGCAGGCGCATTGCTGCTAGGCGCAACGCTCCCCAATGTCAACCTTCTTGGTGTCAATGTCAACCATCCCTGTTCATACTCTGCCCTCGCAGCATCTGCTATCGTGGCACATTATGGACACCCGAAGACACCTATTGGTATTCGTCGTCCAATGAACGATGTGAGGTTCTTTGACGCCTGGGACTACAAGCGCGGCGAGTACACGAGTAAAGTGGCCTACCACTGGTCCGGAGGCACTCTACCATGGGGAAAGGCAGACAAGGCATGGGATCCAGTTGTCTTGTACAGAAAGCTGCTCTCTGAATCAGAAGATGGAAGCGTGACGATTGCTTCCATCGGCTTTCTCGATAATGTGCGTTTTCAAAATGTGGCTCTTGTCTATTGACGGCTGGTCGCTAATATTTGCAGCTGTCTGGACTTCTGGACTCCAAACCCGATGAGTACTCTCAGCTTGACGGTCGCGAGCTTGCGAGGGCCAAAGTAGCAGAGCTCGTCGTCATGGGTGGCAAGTATCCGAAAGGTCGTAGCTGGAACTTCTGGGGCTCCAAGCCCGCCCTTGCCGCTCATGTGTTAGAGACATGGAATGGCCCAATAACGTTCGTAGGCACCACTGTCGGCAGAGAGGTATTAATAGGCGGACCGCTCATGGCGAGTGATCTGGAGGACGACCCAGTCCGAATGGCTTACATCTACTATGGGTTCGGGAAGCCGCTACCTAGTTGGGATCCACTCGTAAGTGTCCATTTGTGGATCGCTCATAAGGCAAAATCTGACCGCGTTTAGACTGTTCTGTATGCTGCGAATGGTCTTGGGGACATGTTCGATGTTGCAGAGGACCGTGGCTACAACAAAATCAACGCTGCAGATGGCTCAAATGAATGGATAAATGACGGAGTCTCGCATGGACGGCGAACTCTGAAACTGAAGGTTAGCAATGAAACTGCTGCGGCTGAGCTGGACCGTCTGTTTTTGGATGCTGCGCGAAGATACTCTAAGCACGCAGGCACCGCCTAGAATGTCGGAATGCTATCATGAATTCGAATCGATCTCAAATACGTACCCTCACCAGGCGTACCTCCATCATGAGTGACTAGCAAGTGTGTATATTGAAGTCGGGTTCCAGATTTCCAGAACTCGCTCAATGCAGTCGCTCGTTGATCGATTGGAAGCTGCTCAAAAGTTCGTTGCTATTGCCTGCCATTGCTACATCTCCACAAAACTACCCAGGTAAATGCACGACGGCACAACGTGCAGTACATGTGTACATGTCAAGCCCAGATGGTGCTAGCGGAAGACCCACGCGTGCTGCGTGACCAACAGCGATGACGTTGGCTGCAGGGTCCATGCTTCGCCCCAGCCCCAGCCTCAGCAAGATCCAACCGCGGCTGTGAGATATAGGTTTAAGTATAATTATATT